CCATGGGTACAGTTGTTTGATAGATGTAAACAAGTAAAACATCTGATTTAACGAATTTAATTCATTCTTTTCTTAAACATTTTCTGTGGCCCCTGCTGTGGTATTAATGGTGCTTCCAAAAGTGGCATCATTTAATATTATTTATGCAGCTTTGGTTACAAGTAGGAGAATGCATAGAGCAAGCTGCTAAACCCAAGGTTGTATCTTACTGAAGTGCTGGGTGGTTGTCCGATAGACCCAATGAATGTGTGTTCTTTCTATAAGATCCTATAAATGGGATGAGTTGTTTGGTTGTGATGTCAAGTGCCAGTAGAATGACAGTAAGGGACACGGGCTTTTAGGGTTAGGCCAGCATGTCCTCAATTTGTTTCAACCACTTACCAGCAGTCTGAGCTTGAGGAGGCTACTTAACCTTGCTGAACGTCAGTTTCCTCATCTGGATAATAAGATAATCAGACCTACCTCACAGGGTTATTGAAATGATTAAATGAGATGCCTGCACCTACCATGAAGGAAGCTTTCAAAACATGGCAGCTGCCACCATTATTATCTTCAGGAAGCAAATTGTCCTTATGGTTGCTAGATGGCACTAGGGGTAGTTTAAAAATTGTCATACCTTCTGTTTCTCATAGTACTCTCCTCCTCTTATCAGCTCTCTCTTTTAATTCAAAAATACAAAGATTTATTTGTTGGAAGGTAACTGAGGAACCAGCATGATCCAACGAGCAGCTACAGATGGTTCTTCTTGGGGACTGAAGGAAAAGCTCCTCAGAGATGCTGTGGAGTCGGCACTGCCACTGGACCGATCCTTCCCACTTCTCCTTGCCAGGCTGTTGCTGGCAGCGGGGCTCTCCGGAAGTTTCTAGCCTCAGGAGAGTGCCAACTGCACCACCATTGCATCCTTGCCCATTTATCACTCTGAGTTTCCTTTTTAGTAGTTGGTGATAGACTATTCAGCTTCTAACTTAGTCATCCATTTCCTTTTTTATTTCTGTTTCCATGGATAGGCAAAGAGGGATTATCCTATTTTGGTAGGTTAAAATAGCACAATTAATTTTTTTCTAATCATTAATTATACCTTAAATTTATTCCCATATTTCTTTTTCTGGCTTTGTGTGTTACCTTTACAGCTTCAAGTGTGCCATACAGTGGACCGTAAAGGGTGTTAGTTGAGAAGCCAGTATGCGCACAGTTGAGTAGGGAATGATCAATGGTTCCAGAAGCAAGGTGACACAGCTGCCTTTTTTGGGGGGCAAAAAATGTTCTGGGTAGCCGGAGAGCCTTAAGGTGGGTGTGTGTCTCTCGGCTGCCTCTCTCCGTCTCACAGAGAGGTCCCTCTGGAGGCTTCTCCCAGAGCAGGGGAAGTGTGTGCTTGAAATCGCACACTTATCTTGCAGTTGCAGGGGAAGCTTTTGTTTTATTTTTCTCTTGCTGCATTAAAGTATTTGTCTTTCTTTCTTTGTAGTGTAATATTGTTAATGTAAAACAATTTGCATCATGACACTTTTATCACAGTTTTCGTCTTTTTCTCAGTATGTTGCATTTCTCACCATGTCTAGTTCATCACAGCTACAGTGTGTACATCACAACATTTATCTTAGGCTCAGGGTTTTACTTGTTTATAAAAATTGTCTTCTTTCAGCCTGTATTCACTCCATTTAAGAAAAAAAAAGGCAGCCAGAAACTGTTTTGGTCCAAACTCCAGTAGTTATCACATTCCTTGCTAACTGTCCTGCGTATTTATATGTCTCCTAACTATTACTCTATGTTTCAATGACATTTCTCAGTTTTATGGCTCGGGGAGGTTGTAGGAGCAGCTTTTGCTATTCAAGCTGCCAAGCAAGGCAGGCCCATGAGGCTTTTGGAGGTGAGGTGAGGTGGCACAGTTTTATATTTGGGTCAGGTCTGAGTGTTAAAGTTGACTGTCTTCCGCAAGCAAAGAGCTAAATTTAATTCGGAGAGAAACGAGGAGGGAGGAAGTCAGTGCAGGCTGAGAGCATGGCTAGTGGAAAGGATCACCAAAGAGGACTCACACAGGGGCACCTGGGCCTGCAATTCAGGCGATTAATGTTCACGGTCAGTGCTCAAGAATCAGCTTTTCTTCTCTCCAGCTTTGAATGCTGCACAAAACTGTGTTTTAGGGATATTTATTTTGCCCCTTTCCTCTCTGAAGGCCAGAAAACTGCTCAGAGTTCTATTGTCCCATTAGGCTATATGTCACTTGCACAGTCACAGAATGTGCCTCTCAAATCGCCCAGGGCTGTGCAGGGCAATCTCTCTTCTGATTAGTGCAGTCTGAGAACGCATGGGGTCTTAGGAGGATGCCAAACGATACCCACTATTATTGTGCACTTTAAATTCCAGGACAGTTCATTAGCATTTTATTTCACACCGTTTCTTTGCCAGAAGATCACATCATAAGCAGCTTGGAATTTCAGTAAAGATGCAGTGTAACGTAGAAAGTAAAAAGGGATTTGCTGTCAGATTTTATCCATCTCTGACACTTGCTGTAGTTGTAACCTGGTGCAAGTTACTCACCTCCTGAATCTCAATGCCTCCATCCAGAAAGCAGGATTGGTCTAGACCTATTTTATGTGAATATTGCAAGGATTCGATATAGCAGTGCTTTTACAAACCCTTATTTATATGTAATGCTTAACACAGCGACAGGCAAGGAGTAACTGCTCAACTGAATGTTAACTATTATCATTAATGGCATGGTGTATGGATTGAAAGTGGGCAAAACATATCTCAATACATTTCAGATTGAGCACATTTCGTTCTCCCTACCCTCCGCTGATAACACTTGATTCTGCAAAACTAGGATCAAATATAGTGGACACTGAAAGAGGTTGATAATTTATTTCATTTACTCATTTAATTGATAAATATTTAGCATTCTATTAGATGTTAAGAGTAATGCACAATATAGACAAATCTGTTCTCTTATGGATCTTATCATTTAGTAGAGTATATAATAAGTAAATATTGATTTACTAGATAAAAAATTAATGAATGGATGAATGGTGATGTTGGGATGAATGGATAGATGGATTCATATTTGGATGTATTTATCTGAGACATCATATCAGACAAAAAGTTTTTCCAAAATAAAGTAAGATAAAAGCATAACTTTTAAGGAGTCTCACCCAGGTTTTTATTCTGAGAGTTCATAAGTAAAATTCTCAATTTAAGTGAGAAATGGAATATGGTCAGGACAAGTGGGAACTAGCCTCCACAGGAAAGGAAGGAGCTTTTAAGCCTACTAGGTCAGGATGACCTTGTGACATTCAGTTGACTAAAACATTTTGGGTGGCTGTGTCCTGAAAGTTGTAGATAAAATGTCTTTTTTCCAGAAACACTGTTAAAGAATTCTCACATCAGCATCAGAAATTTAACCTCCCCAAAATGCCCCTGCCATATCTCTTGGTTCCTATTATTGTGATGGAGTAAGAGGAGTTACAGTAGCCCACCCTCATTTAAGGCAAATACATTCCAGGACCCCCAGTGGATGCCTGAAACTATGGATAGTCATGAGCCCTCTATACATTATGTTTTTTCCCCCTACAGATACACATACCTACAATAAAGTTTATAAATTAGGCATCATAGAGATTAACAATAGCCAATAATGAAACAGAACAATTATAACGATATACCATAATAAAAGTTAATTGACTGTAGTGTCTTTCTGTTTCTCAAAATATCTTATTGTATTATACTGCAGGTAACTGAAACCATAGAAAGCAAAACTGCCAATAAGGGGGGACTACTCTATTACAATTTTACAGAAATCAGGGCTCAAAGAGTAGCATGTCTCCAGTTGCATAGCTCACTGATACTGAAACTGGAACTTGAAACAAACACTGTTACTTTAGCCCCATCCCCTTCCTGCCAGGCCACCAAGGTTCTCATCAAAAATATAAACTGGTATGAGCTACAGATATATCTGTGAAATATAAACCTTGGTTTTCATAAAGTTGAATTTGATTCACCAAGGTGCTGCAGGACCAGCTGGCTGCTTTAAAACCCATGGAGATGTTGCTGCCCCTTCCCTGCCCAACCCATAACAGGATCATCATAGTGGACCCTAGCTCACCCTCTCCCCAAAACACTGCAGTGTTTTGCGGCATTTTTACCTTCATCCTGACTTTAGTAAATATCCTCAAATTAAAATCAGACCACCAGCTCTAGATGCTTTCAATGACTTTTTCATCCAAGACCCCTGACCCTCATTCTAGGAGCCCTGGCTCAGGCCACATAGCAGTCCCAAAAAGCTGACCTCCCAATTTTTTTATCCTACTTCCTTGGCTAATTTGGGTATGACTTGATCTAATAGCATCACTTCCAATATACGGAATGAGGCAGACAACAACTCACGGATTTTCTAAGGCCATTTTTGATCTTTTTTACCCCCTTCCCCTCCCATATGTTACATTTGCCTAGGTTTTTAACATCTGTTCCCAAAGAGGTAATATTTGCTTTTCATTCAGAGCTTAGCAATGTGGACCAAAGTTCACATGACATATTGCAGAGTATGTTTAGTTGCAAATGCTATGTACAGGCTCTTTGAAATGTAGCATGTATGGCACCATGTGACACATGGTTGCCATGGCAATACACTTTTTGGCTGAACTACAGCAGAAGCCCATGGAACATACATTGCTAATATGAGACTCTGCCCTGTGCTAATGCATAGGACACAGCCAATCTGGGATCTGGGACTCAAGGGGTTTTGCATGCAGGCTGGGTGGCAGGTGCCCTCTGCCTGCATGTGCAGGGAAGATGTGGCATCCTCCCTTTCCAGTCCTGTCTCCCAGGCACAGGGCATGCTGTGCATTCTGCCATGCATGGAGACAGCATTTGCTTGAATATCGGTTTGCTATATTTTGTATCAAAGGGGGCCCCAGCTGAAAACATTTTATTTTGTAAACTGAAGTGAAAAATCAGTTTATGGCAGATCCTTTTTTGAATAATGACATTCTTTTTCCCAATTCCAGAATTCAACAGTCATGAGCAGAGCTGAAAATTTTAAACAAGTTGAGTACCTCCTTATTCATGGAACAGCAGATGGTGAGTTTCAGTTAATTAGACTTTTTAGTATCACAGACAGGTTTGCAATTTCACTACTGACAAAACAAAAGCATGAGGGGCAAGACTGTTACATTTACTTCAATAAAACAGTGTTGCTTTCCACAAGTCACTTGTCTTGGGCTAAATGGGATGCTGAGTCCTAGAACTTCAAACAGTCCCTTTCTTCTTGTGCCTTTCCCACCCCTTGGTACCAGAAAACGGGCGGCTATTAGCTACTTTGTTTCCTCTCTCTCCCTGCAGATAACGTTCACTTTCAGCAATCAGCTCAGATCTCCAAAGCCCTGGTCGATGCTGGAGTGGATTTCCAGGCAATGGTATAGAAAAATTTGTGCAAGGGGAGGGAAGTTGCTGGTGGGGTCTAGTTTCCTCTTTCTGGGCTAATTCTCTTGGCAGTGCCAGAGGCAGAACAGAATAAAAACATTAAATTTTTTTTTTCAAAGTGGAATCAGAGGAGTGATATCCTTGAGCCATACACAGAATAATGTTCAATAACATTAGCAAGTTTGCAATTAAGAAGCACAATATTGCTTATCCTCGGAGTATCAAGACACTGGTTGATGTGATCAGTCTCTCCCTATTTTGATTCAAAAGTAATCACTTATTCAGTAAATGTGTGGCAGAGTAATTCTAAAGTGAAACCAGCATGATAATAGCTCAGCTCAAATATGAAAATCCATTTCTGTCTGGTATGTATTACTAGCCATTCTAACAACAGTAGGATCTTAATAATGAGCATGCTTCAGTTTTTGCAGTTGCAAGGTGATCTTTTGTTGAACAACCACAGGCAATAAACAATTGTTTTATAAAGTCAGAAATGGCTAGAGCTGTTTTTGTCTATGCAGAGGATATTTCTGGGTGTTATGTCAAATTCATTTTCTGCATTAGAGATTTTCAGATTAAGGAAAAAATACATATTCTTATGTATGTATATGTATTTATGTGTCCTCTAATACACATGATTTGCTCTGTGCTCAGTTCAAATGGTGCCCAATGCATAGGGGTGGGACAGTTATTTGATACTGAGAAAAACTTGTATATGTTTTGGGTCAGTGTTTTATAAGAGATTGAAGTTTATTTTTCTACTATTCAAAGGAAAGACATATACTACTTTAATTAAGCTTTTTAAAAAATTAACTTACATCTCCATCGTTTATGTTTGCCCAGCAATGACTTCCCAATTATTTAATAAGGTATCAATCGATAAAATTTTGCCCAAGATAATAAATGCCTTTTACATAAATGTCAGATATACAGATTTTTAAAATACCAGTTTAAAATCTAAGTGTTTGCAAACAATGCATCTGACTTTTGAATTCACTTCTGTTAAACATATATATGTAATATTGAGATAGTTTTTTTCTGGTTTCTTAGTGATATATATTAGGCAACATTGCCTTTAAAAATCATTTATTTTAATACAGTTTATCTTACTATATAGAAATTTAACACTTGATAACACTTTAATTAAAACAAGTGGGCTTAATGGGATAAGCATTCCTTCCTGTGCATAGTGTGTTTCTAAGTGCCCTTTGAGTCAAATTTGGAAGTGGATTGGGTGCTTAATTAAAATTGTCATATCTTTAAAGCAGTATGCAATAAAGCCAAATTCACAGTGAGTTCTCTCAACACCTGCAAAAGAGGATCAGAGACTTCTGCAGGACAGAACAACATGCCCTGGAAAAGCTCTGGAAGAAAATTAGACACCCTCTTTGATCCCGTTTCAGTTTATACACTGCTTCGGGAGTCAGAACACTCTGTTTTATACAATGTATGCTCCTGAGAGCATATTTGAATTTATTTATTATTGTTTTTTAAAGACAACGGAATTGCAATTCTAACTTTTTTCTTTCTCTCTTTAGTGGTATACTGATGAAGACCATGGAATCGCAAGCAGCACAGCACACCAGCATATATATACTCACATGAGCCACTTTATCAAACAGTGTTTCTCTTTACCTTAGCACCTCAAAACACCATGCATTTTAAAGCTTATTAAAGTCATTGTTTTCATTATATCAAAACTGCTCTGTCAAGATGATGATCTTAAAAATATACACTCAAATCAAGAAACTCAAGGTTACCTTTGTTCCTAAATTTCATACCTATAATCTTAAGTAGGGACTTCTGTCTTCACAACAGATTATTTCCTTACAGAAGTTTGAATTATCCAGTCGGGCTTTATTGTTTAAAATCATTTCCACATCAGCTGCTGAAACAACAAATATGAATTGTTTTTATGGAAGCTTTTCCTAGGTTCCCTGAGCAGGATTTTAATCTTTTTCTAACGGGACTAGTTCAAATGTTCTCTTCTTTAAAGGGACGATAAGATGTGGGCAGTGATGTCACTAGGGTAGAACAGGATAAGAGGGATTATGGAGAGAAGATAGCGGGGCATGGCTGGGAACCCAAGTCCAAGCATACCAACACGAGCAGGCTACTGTCAGCTCCCCTCGGAGAAGAGCTGTTCACAGCCAGACTGGCACAGTTTTCTGAGAAAGACTATTCAGTCTCAGGAAATCAAATATGCAAAGCACTGACTTCTAAGTAAAACCACAGCAGTTGAAAAGACTCCAAAGAAATGTAAGGGAAACTGCCAGCAATGCAGGCCCCCAGGTGCCAGTTATGGCTATAGGTGCTACAAAAACACAGCAAGGGTGATGGGAAAGCATTGTAAATGTGCTCTTTAAAAAAATACTGATGTTCCTAGTGAAAGAGGCAGCTTGAAACTGAGATGTGAACACATCAGCTTGCCCTGTTAAAAAATGAAAATATTTGTATTGCAAATCTTAACTTGAAGGGAGTCCTTGCATCAATTTTTCTTATCTCATTTCTTTGAGTGTCTTAATTAAAAGAATATTTTAACTTCCTTGGACTCATTTTTAAAAATGGAACATAAAATAGAATGTTATGTATTATTATTCCCATTCTACCTACTATGGAATCTCTCCTGGTCATTTAATAAATGGGCCTTCATTTTTTCAGAAGTAATGAGTTGTGTCTTGAATCAATACAGTGAAACCACACTGGCATGTGGACACATTTATCTCGAAAGACTCTTGTTTATTTTGTTAGTAATCCAAGACTACCTTGTAAATATGGAAAGAGTTCAGCTTTGGTAAAAAATTAGATATATAAAAATGTGTTAAGCTAAACAGTTCATAGGTTTTTGTCTAAAATGCAATTTCTCTTATCATAAATACATAGAGCTTTTGAGAAATCAACTGAAAATAATTTGTTATTTATATCATACACAATTTATAATTTTATTCCAGGGAACTATGATGAGGCTTATATAAGAACAAATAGATCAGAAATATCATTCTGGCAGTTCGGATGGCTCAGTAGAAGTAGTCAAGTCAATCACTTAAGTGTTTGACTAATTATTTGCGGTTGACCTTACTATAAAAATGAAAGCATAATTCTTTTTTTCTTTTTTTGAGATGGAGTCTTGCTCTGTCACACAGGCTGGAGTGCAGTGGCATATTCATGACTCATTGCAACCTCCGCCTCCTGGGTTCAAGTGATTCTCCTGTCTCAGCCTCCTGAGTAGCTGGGATTACAGGTGCCTGCCACCATGCCCGGCTAATTTTTGTAGTTTTAGTAGAGATGGGGTTTCACCATGTTGGCCGCACTGGTCTTGAACTCCTGACCTCAGGTCATCTGCCTGCCTCAGCCTCCCCAAGTGCTGGGATTACAGGGGTGAGCCACTGCACCCAGCCCAAAGCATACATTTTAAATGCTGGATTTGACCTAGCAAAGCAATATCTAGATGACAGAAATCATCATTAATTATTTGCAAAACAGCCTCATTTTAAAAAATTTGACTTTATGAGTTTAAACTTAGCTTCAGACCATTTGCTAGACAAAGTTTTTCCCAGACAGGGTGAGCTATAGCACAAAAACCTAAAAATGGAAGAAATGGAAAAAAGTATATCAATTCAACATGAGACTGGTGAGTCATGCATAGGCATGGACAGAGGATTGTGAAATTCATCTTCAACTATAATTTCAAAGCATGCCATTGAGTAGCTTCACCTTAATTTAATCTCAACTCCCACTCTTCCATTGGAACCCCAAACTGACCTTCCAATCTGTAGGGTTCTTGTCAAAATTCTGTTTCTTAGTATAGTTCAGTCATTGTGAGTAGATGGACCAAACTTTGCAGAATTATATTTCAACAAGCAATAGTAATATAAGTTCACATCCTGGACAGCATTAATAGTCATAAAAGAAAATGAAATGGAAATTCTCCTTTTATCTTAATTGAAACCAGACATTGTACAATGTCAGATATTGTACAACATTGGATATTATACAAGTCAGATATTATAGTAATATCTAAGTCAGATACTATTTAATATTTGTACAATATCAAAATGATGTGGATTAATATTCCTTTAGTTTCTAAGCATATGCAGTATTTTCTCTGGAGCCACAGGTAATCCCAGCATGTATTTTTCAGGCATTGAAGGCTGCAAAAGGTAATGATGTAAGTCAAGTTAAAGTAGTTTTCATTCGTCCCTCATAGGACAAGTTTTACTTTCCAATGAGAGTTTTAAATTAGCTTATGGAAAAAGAAGAAAATGTACAAGTAAATTAGAGATAAACTTAATCTGAGAATAAGTTTAAAACGTACAGGAACCAGTCATACCACTAAGATGTGCAGAGTTGTCTTATCAGTCTTAGCCGCAGCCTCTGCAGACACAGGAATGGCTAAGACTGCTTTCACAAACAGCCTGTTAGAGTACACCCGTGCCCAGAGGACCATACATGAAAAGAAAGGAGAAATGGCGTATATCTCTTCCATGGATACAGGGTTTGCTTTTTAAGTTTCTATCAAGATTTTTAGAAAATCACTATTAAAAAATAATTACTTTTTAACATGCTTTGTTGGAAATTTTGCTAAATATGATTACGTACCTTCATACTTTCTTAAATATCAGGCCCAGAATATAATTCAATGCATCCTTGACAACTCAGAGCTACTACCATAAAAGTTAATTAACTCATCGAGCTTCATGTCATTCTGGGTATTTTCTGTTTCTTTTCTTATTCACAGGTAGTCACTAAGACTACTAGTTCCACTTCTTGGCATTTACTACTTTTGCTTGAAGTTGATGTGAGAATACTGATGTATAAGACTACTAGATTTGCACCATATTTATGATTCAATAAACTCTAAATAGAAAACATACCAAAACACAAACATGGATTTTTTCCATAAAGTAAGAGGATTTTGTTGGCCAACTCTGTGACAGTTATTTCAGCAGTGTCAAAGAACCCTTTTGTGTACATCCTGAGTGACCTAGAGTGTGTATTTAAGATGTCTGAGGGATACAGGTGGTTGAGAATGATAGACAAGTGGGGGTTACCAAGTATAACATTACCGCCAGGCACAATGGCTCAAGCCTGTAATCTTAGCACTCTGGGAGGCCGAGGTGGGTGGATTACCTGAAGTCAGGAGTTGGAGACCAGCCTGGGCAACACAGTGAAACCCTGTTTTTACTAAAATACAAAAAAGTAGCCAGGTGTGGTGGCGCCTATAATCCCAGCTACTCAGGAGGCTGAGACAGGAGAATCGCTTGAACCCAAAAGCAGAGGTTGCAGTTAGCTGAGATGGCATCACTGTACTCCAGTCTAGGCAACAGAGTGAGACTCCATCTCAAAATAAATAAATAAATAAATAAAGTATAACATCACCATCCCATGAGAAAAGCTCAGAGCATGGTATGAATTGGCCAATGTTATACTCTGTAGAAATGTATCATCTTTCTGTACAGTCTTCTTTCTGTGACAATATTAACATTTAAACCCAAGAATTTGAATTAGTAGATAATTTCCTTACTTAATTGAGATAATAGCTTTTTTTTGGTGCTTGCAGGTTTGAAGCCTCAACAAACTCGATAAAAGTTCTTATTCTATATAGCCTTTCATCTGAACCAACTCTTCAAATTATTTAAAAAGCATGTGAGAGTATGGTGTGAAGTATGACCATCCAACAATTAAAACCCTTATTTATTTTTTAAACTTCTTCTATCCAAAGTCCTGATATTTGTGACATATGAGCAAAAAAGGTATTTCACTGGTTAAGTCTTGTTTCCAATGTTAGTAACAAAAAGAGTGGTGGAAAAGAAAATGTAACAGATTAAGAAGAAATATTAATCATCATAACCTGATTCTGGTTCCATGAGCCAGAATTAATAACCTGTTAAGGAGGAAGGCAGTCACATCTCACCTCCTGCTGGACATACAGTGCACTGCAGCTGAGGTCAGATGGACCTGGGTTAAAGTCTCAATACTACCAGTCACTAATGGGAAACATTTAAAGAACAATACTTAGTCTTTTGAACTCCAGTGTCTTAATTTGTAAAAAATACGAAAACACCTACCTTATAGAACTGTTGCATTGCTATGAAGATTTGCATAGATACAATGCCTGACAACTTCCTTTCACCTTTTCCCTCCTCCTAGTCACGACCGTTTAGCTGCTTCTCCTTGATGGCGCCATAGGTTACATAGATTCTTGCCTTAGTCGTCTATGTCCTCAGGTGCTGGGTGCTCAAAGGTACTCATTAAACATTTGCTGTGTTCCAATACTGACATGTCAGTGAGAATTCTTTTTGAATTTTTAATCATACTTAATAAACTGAGCAGCAGAATCCTCTGGTATATTTTACTTATTATATCAACAGCATTGCTGGCTGGGTAAACAGCAGAGCACACATCTGGGCTCTTGAGAGTTACAAAAGAGGGGCAAAACACCAAACACCATCCCTACCTTCAAGAAACTTATAAAAAATGGACAAAAGAAGTCACATGAAAAAAAATATTTAACTCTACACACACCAGAAGGCAAGAGGATCCAGACAGAAAGCTGTGTCCAGGGTAAGAATGTAGGGTTGGATTCAAGGGTAGACAAAGAGAAGGTGGTTTCTGGATTATTATGAAGCAGCCATTGTCTGAACTTTGTACCATGCTTAGATTTAACGCTCTCAGGCTTGCTGTAGACATTGCTTTTCAGAACATTTTTTTTTTTCAAATACAACTATATACACAAATATGTGCAATATATATGTATGATCTCCACATATAAGGGAATGCACTACTTAAAAGTAATTATAATAAAGCTATTGTGCCTAGAGTTACTTGTTAGGTGCCTAAGGAGTATACTGAAGCCTGTTTCATTTCTATCCTAATAGAAATGTATAGATCACTCATGAAAACTTAGTTTTATCATCTGCGAGTCATCCTGGAAGGGAGATCCGTAAGGAGAAGATTCCACTGTTTCCCCGCTATATTCACTACTGTGCTGCTCTATTAATCATTTCAAAATTCCTTACTCAAAATTCTTAATGGGTAAAATTCCAACTGTTCTAGGATAGAATTTAACATCATTTGTAATGTCTCTGACTTGTGTTTCTATCTTTTCCTACAAGTCTTCACTACCCTCCTAACACTCCACCATATTGGGCTGTTTGCTGGGTTCCAAATATGCCATACATCAAATATGCCAGGCTCTAATTATGCCATATAGCTTTACTTTTAAAATTCATCTTTATTTCAATACTGACATAGGTTTGAGAATCTTTGCAGTTCCGGTGTAGCTGGAAAAGGGGTCCCGATCCAGACCCCAAAAATGGGTCCTTGGATCTCACACAGGAAAGAATTCGAGAAAAGCCACAGAGCATAGTGGAAGAAGCAAATTTTTCAGAAACTACTTCATTACAGTGTGGGGTACCCTCTGAAAGCAAAAGGAGGAATCCCCTGTCCTTTTTTAGCTCCTCTACTTTTATAAGAAGTTACAAAGAGCTACAATTAAAGTTGGAATGTACCTACATGCTCATTAAAGGTAGGGACCTTTGGTGTCATTGATATTACATGACCCTTAATCTTTTAACCTAAGCTTGCTGATTAACATTATCCCTAAGTAAAGAGGGCTGCATTCTTAGGACATTGGGAATTCTTCAGGTATAGTGGGAGATGC